GCTCCTTGTGTCTGCACCCCAGTAACCTTTGCAGGCTGTGCTTGTTGCCTCGGGGCTGAAATGTGGGTGCTGCTCCCAGAACAAGCCTGACTCGATCTTGTCCACAAAGTTTGCATTTGTTTCTCCTCTCCTGGGGTCCCCTTCCTTACCTCCTCCAGGAATTTGCTCAGACGTCCCCTTCTTAGTCTGGGCCTTCAAACTGCCACCTCCCCCCTTCCCATAGTCCGTGGAACTCCTATCTCCCTTCTCTGTGTCAGCTTTCTTGTCCACACTTACTGCCATCTGATCCGCAATATGTTTTTTTGAGTAACATCTTTCTCCTCACCCAGGATCATAAGCACTGCGAGGATAGGGACCTCTGTTGTTCTGTTCACTGCTGCAACTCCAGCACTTAAAACAATGCTTGGAGCATGTGTACAACAGGTGCTAAATAATTTTCTGCTCAGTGAAAGGATGTACTTCCAGAAGGTGCATTTGATCTAGGCAGGAAGAAGAAAGAGGAAGAAGAGAGATGGGTGATGTTTAAATCAGGAAAGCAAAAAGTCAATTCCCAGAAATCCCAGAACTTCCGGCCAAGATGGAAGCATAGGTAGACACATTGTTCCTCCTCACACAACCAAAAGAAGGACAACAACAAATTTAAAACCAAAAAACAACCAGAACTGATGGAAAATTGAACTGTATGGAAGTCTGACAACCAAGGAGTTAAAGAAGAAACATTCATCCAGACTGGTAGGAGGGGCGGAGTTGGGCAGCTGGGCGGAGAGGACTCAGGGGCAAGGGGACGGCTGGTGGACCCAGCGAGGCAGCAGATTGTGGATGGGGCAGTCCCACATTCACGTGCAGATAGAACGGGAGGAACAACTGGGGAGCAAGATGGACCATGTAACCCAGGGTCCCAGCCTGAGAAAATAAAGCTTCAAAACCCTGACTGAAAAAACCTGTGCGGGTTGTGGTATCAGGAAAAACTCCCAGCTTCACAGCAGAGTTCGTTGGAGAGACCCACAGGGTCCTAGAACCCACACAAACCTACCCACCTGGGGAATCAGGACCAGAAGGGCCCACTTTGCTTGTGGGTAGCGGGGGAAGTGACTGAAAGCCAGTCCAGAGCAGAGCAAGCAGCACTGTTCTCTCTCAAACCCCTCCCCCACATACAGCGTCACAACGCAGCCAGGTGGGTTGCCACGCCGTTGTGAACACATAAGTCTCCGCCCCTTACTACTTTACAGAGGTACTGAGACAAAAAAAAGAAAAATGGCCCAAATGAAAGAACAGATCAAAGCTCCAGAAAAAATACAACTTAGCAACAAAGAGATGACCAACCTATCAGATTCAGAGTTCAAAACACTGATAATCAGAAAGCTCACAGAACTGGTTGAATATGGTCGCAAAATAGAGGAAAAAGTGAAGGCTATGAAAAGTGAAATAAAGAAAAATGTACAGAGAACCAGAATGATGGGAAGGCAACCGGGATGCAAATCAATGGTTTGGAGCAGAAGGAAGAAAGAAACATGCAACCAGGAATGAATGAAGAAACAAGAATTCAAAAGAATGAGGAGAGGCTGACGAACCTCCAGGACAACTTTAAATGTTCCAACATCCAAATCATAGGGGTGCCAGAAGGAGAAGAGGAAGAGCAAGAAATGGAAAACTTATTTGAAAACATAATGAAGGAGACTGGCAAAGGAAATCTGGCAAAGGAAATAGACTTCTAGGAAGTCCAAGAAGCTCAGAGAGTCCCAAAGAAGTTGGACCCAAGGAAGCGCACACCAATGCACATCATAATTACATTACCCAAGATAAAAGATAAGGAATCTTAGAAGCAGCAAGAGAAAAGGAGACAGTTACCTACAAAGGAGTTCCCATCAGACTGTCAGCTGATTTCTCAAAAGAGACCTTACAGGCAAGAAGGGGATGGAAAGAATTATTCAAAGTCATGAAAGGCAAGGACCTACATCCAAGATTGCTCTATCCAACAAAGCTTTCATTTAGAATGGAAGGGCAGATAAAGTGCTTCCCAGATAAGGTCAAGTTAAAGGAGTTCATCATCACCAAGCCATTATTATATAAAATGTTAAAAGGACTTATCTAAGAAAAAGAAGATCAAAATATGAACAGTAAACTGACCACAAACAACTATCGACAACCGAACCTAAAAAAAAAAATGAAACAGTAACAAAAACAAACTAAGCAAACAACTAGAACAGGAACAGAATCACAGACATGGAGATCACGTGGAGGGTTATCCGTGGGGAAGTGGGAGACAGATAGAGGGGGAACAGGTACAGGAACTAAGTAGCATAAATGGTAGGCAGAAAATAGACAGGAGGAGGTTAAGAATAGTATAGGGAATATAGAAGCCTAGGAACTTACATGTATGGCCCATGGACATGAAGTAAAGCAGGGCGGGGGGAGATGCGGGTGGGAGGGGGTGTGCAGGGCGGAGGGGAATACAGGGGGGGAAATGGGACAACTGTATTAGCATAATCAATAAAATATATTAAAGGAAAAAAAGAAATCCCTTGCCAACTTTCATTTATGTCTCCTTAGCCAAAACCATGTCACATGGCCACCCACTGCTGCAAGGGAGTCTGGAAAGATGAGTATTTCTAATTGTGTGCACTGCCCCCCTTAAACAACATTATTTGGTAAGTAAGGCAGAAGGGAAAAATGAATATTGGAAAGGCAACGTACCGTGTACACCACCTGGATCTATCCTGGACCTAATGAAGTGGCATCTCTGAGGGTGATAATTTTGATGCAGGTGAACTGTTGTAAGAAAAGTGGTTGGAATAAGGGAATGAGCCATCCTGGGTGTGGACATACTGGTCATGGACATCTGTTTGGTTGACTGCCCAGACCACACTCCCTACGCCCTGCCACCTTCATCATCTTTTTTTTATTTTTAAAAAATTGATTTTAGAGAGAGAGGAAAGGAGACAGAAACATTGATTTGTTGTTCCACTTATTTATGCATTCATTGGTTGATTCTTGCTTGTGCCCTGACCAAAAATCGAATCTGCAACCTTGGTGTATTGGGACAATTCTCTAAGCAACTGAGCTATCTGGCTAAGGCCCCTTGCCATCTTTTCTGAGAAATATCTTTATTTGCACCCCTGCCCACATATACATGGTTACAGCTGTAGGACTCTCGGAGGCCTTATTCATATTTCATGTTCCCATCCACCTGACCCAAACCATTGAATCAGAATCACATGACCACGAACTTGGCACTAAGGTGGAGATTCTAAGTCTCTCTGGATGACTGGATCGTGTAAACAGAGAGCTGCTGGAGGGCTTATCTTCTATGTCAAAAGTAGCAAGAGAAAAGGAGCACGAACTGGAGCAGCTGAGGAAAGAACGTGCACCCCACACAGAAAGAAGTGTGGTGAAATAGAGGGGGTCTTTGTGGTGTCTGAGTCCCTGGTAGTGGGTCATTCCTGAGGCCTGGTTCTGTTCTTGCCCTTGGGGTCCAGTGCACGCTTCCTGTTCTTTTGTTCAGGCCAGCTTAAGCGAATCTTGAGTCCTGGCTAAAGAGCTCTAACACAGACACACCCCGGCTCAAGGCATCTGAAAACAGAAGGAAGTAACTCTGGAGATCAGGTGCCCCGTGCTAGCGGAAGAAGTGAAACATAGCAGCTTCTTTATCAACAGCCCACAAAGGACGGGGCCAGGGGAGACTTCATCTGGCTGTTTGTGGAGCTCTAGGAAGCCGCTCTCGCCAGCCCCACAAGTGAGCCCACTGCCAATGGGAGGAGTGAGTGCTTTTGACACAGGACCTCTAGGTTAAGGGTCTGAAGATCTGGTTTTGCTTCCAAGCAGCCTGTCCTTCGGTCCCTGGCTCCCACTTCTTGTAAAACATGTAGGGTGCCTATCAGTTTTCCTGAGGCACAGCTGGGCCGGACAGATAGCGTGGCACAGGGCAGAAAGCAGTCTGGGTTCTAGAGTCTGGAAGTCCACACTCATTCCTAACCTTTAGCCAAGACACAGGCATACCTACTTTTATTGCGCTCTATTGTGCTTCCTGGGTGTTGCATTTTTTTACCCAAAGGCAAGACACTCTGTGAGCAAAAAGGATTACAGTTCGCTTTATTGCAGTCACCTGGAACTGCACCTGCAGTATCTCTAAAGGACGCCTGTAGCTGATTTCCCCAAATCTCACCTATAAACCAATGGCAGTAACTCCCACCTGGGAAGATACAATGAGCCTGCAGGTGTAAATCACCTAACACGACGAATAGCAAATCCCGCTCTGACAGCAGAGCCATTCCCGCCCTGGCACCCAGTTGGAAGACAGGGCAGGCGCCTGGCGTGGAGACAGGGGGACCCTCCTGGAAAACTATTTTTGCCAAAACCATGGTTCACTGCTGGGTGTTGTACATCAGCCTAAGCTCCATGCTCTCCCAGGAGCCAGCGGTTTTGTGTTGGTTTTTTAGCAGAAACTACTTTTCATTTCTTATAAGACCTCCATGCTGTGGGGGGCCAATTGCTAGAGCCCAGGGGGAGGGAAAAGAGAGCCCCTTGAAAGAGATGAAAGGGGAAGCTAGATTTGAAGTCATTTTAATTCAACCCCCATCATGTGCCAGGCACACCCATGTGCTTTAGACCCATTATTGGCTGTTTTAACCTCTCTCGGATGACAAGTGGAGGTGCAGATAGGCAGAGCTGTCGAATGCTATTGACGGCTCCTCTGGACAGCATCTAGGCAATTCTAAAATCTGCTAACAGCTCTGAATTAGCTGGGCGGAGACCGCTACCAGAACACGAACAGCTGCTGTCATAGCTGGCACAGACTTCACACTGGAGCCTGGGACCTGCCCCTCAGCCCTGCTGGGCCGACGGGTCCCTTTATTAAGCAGCCAAGGTGCTGGTAACTGCAGCTTGGGCTCCCCATGCTACTGATCCCACACCGGAAAAAACAAGGGAGAGAAGGGAGAAAATGAAAGACGGAGTAAAAGTAGGAAGAAACAAAGGGAAGAGAAGGCAGGCAACCAACTGTGTAACGATACTCATTCCTTTATTATCGACTGTGTTGATCTGAACAGGGCTGGGGCCTGCAGGCTGCTGGCTGCACGGAGCTGCAGGTGCACTTCAGCTCAACAGACAGGCCTCATCCTAAGCCAAGAAGACAGGGGGCAATGTTTTACATATATATATTTATATATTACATATGTAATATACGGGTCACTGCATTGTTAGCTGTTGTCCTAAATAAAGACCATAGCAACAGACGTGGAAATTTGTTCCAATCAAGGCCCTTACTTTGTTAACCAAATGTCTGCTACATCAAAAGGAAAAGAAGAGAGAGAGAGAAACAGAGAGACTGAGATCCAGCCACCCCGGTGGCCCTGTTCCCAGCATATCTTATGCTGAGTATAGAGTGTCCCCTGTGGAGTTAAACACACAGACACGCACATACATACACACATACACGAAACCGCAGGCGGGAGCTCCTCCTCTGACCACACCTCGGGCCCAGCCCTCAGACCAGGGGTGGTGATGTTGGGTGGCTTGTGCTATAAGACTGTGAGGGTCACGCAACCAGACAATGCAGAGTCAATGTGTCCAAGTGGTGAAGGGGGGTGACACGTGCTATTTCATCCACAAACGTGAAAGAAGTCACTGGGAGACGCTGCTCAAGGCAGGCCTGGACGTCCCCAGGACACCTGGGGCATTTCTACACATGACGTCCCAGCCTCAGCAGGATCTAGTATCTGAATTCTGAGTCTCAAATAATCCCTGGGGCTCTGACAGAAAATGTGATTTCCTTGATGGACAGCAGCAACTGGCAACTGAGCTGCCCCACCATCTAGCCCAGCAATTACAGCAGAAACAACAGCATCATCGATGTAAGCCCAACCATAGCTTGGTCCTCAGAGCAGAACTGGAAAGGTGTAAAAGGGTTAATTTCTTGATGGAAAGAGAATAACCAGATAATCGCCCTCCCCCCAACATCAAATTTCAGGCAAAGCACTCAGTTTTATGCTTTTATCCCAGTGACCAACTTCTGCATATCCTAGGAACCGGAGACTCCCGCTATGAGGGCACGTTAAAATCCTGACCCACTGGTTTTCTCTGATGATTGCTTTTTCACCCCTCCACCAAAATGCACACTGAAAAAGTAAGTCAATGAAAATTAATCTCTTTTCTTTTTTTTTGGTAGAAATTTACTTATCACTTAAGATACCTAGAGACATCTTGGGATGTCACAAAGGGAGATGAAGAGTACTTCCCTAGGGACCAGTTTGCACAATGCTGAAGAAGGGGTTAGTTTCCAACAAAACTGCCCAACAAATGCGATTCAGAAACAGGGGGAATCGGTAACGCTGGCCGACTGTGCCTGGGTCTCCGTCTCCTGTGCTGCATGAGGGGGAAGCAACAGGTTCCGATCGATACCTTTGCTGAGCCAGGGGCACAAGGACGTCGGTTCCCTCCCACTATGAACTGGGATCCTGGCAGCGGCGGGGAAGACGTTGGAAGCAGGAAGGAGCAGCATCTCAGACACAAGGAGTAGGCCTGACCACTTGCGGACCACAGTTACTTCTCGGAGGGGGACAGAACAGGGGACACCGGAGGAGGGACTTCCCCTGATGACTGTTCGCGTCTCAGGACTTCCATTTCCTGCGGGTCCGAGGAGGCGGCCACCGGTCAGTTCACAGGTCCCACCCCAGGCTTGGGAAAGTGGGCAGAGAGCAGAGGTCGGAAGCCATGGATTCTCGGCAAAGCTGAAGAGGGGCCGTGGGGGCGAGGTCGTTTAAGTCCTTGAAAAGGAGCCCGAGAAGCCGACCAGGGTTGCCTGAGGCGCGGAAAGGGCTGGGAGCACTGTCAGGACATCTCCCGTCCTCGGGACATCTCCTGACCAGCATTGCGCCAGTCCCAGAAAGTGCTTAGGAGCTGCTCCCGTCAGCACAGGAGGAGACGGAGGTTGTGGGGACGGGTAGAAAAAGTCCTCTGTTCGCAGGCACCGGCCACCCCCCTTTCTGGGAACAGCTGACAGCGAGGAGCTGGAAGTCTGACCCGGGATCCACAGTCAGCGGAAAAGGAGGCTATGCAGTGACACGGCAGGCTCAGCCGAGGGCCTCCCCCCCACACTAACTGAGCTCCACGAATAAATAACATTAATTAAATAACGGAGGCTAAGAAGAGCCGGCAGAGGCACGGTCTGCCAGCTCTCACCCCCTCACGCACACACGAACACGCACATGCACACACACACACACACACACCAAGCGGCAGATGAGATGATCGGGGCTGGCTGCCCGGTCCCGGGAGTCGGCCAGACCGGCCGCAGGGCTGAAGGTTGTCACTCGTGGTCTAGCACTGTCGCAGGGCGCAGAGCAGCGGAGGCCAGTGAGGCATGTGCGGTGGAGGGTGGAGGCCGCTGAGGACTCTGGCACCTGCGGGGCGGTGGGGCCAAGGTGGGTGAAAGGGGAAGCTGGGAACGTGCAGGAAAGCCAACGGTGAGGACTGTCCTTCCCCTCACCCAGTTGCTGTGGAAGCGCCTCCCCAACGCCCTGCCTCCCATCCTGAGCCCCCACCCCCTCCACCCACTGTGACCGCGTGGTACTGACCAGGAGCGGGACTTCCGGACTTTGGAGGTGGAAGGTCTTTCCAGAAAGCTGTCCAACCGCATGAGCCTCTCCATGTGCAGAGCACGGGGATCTTGCTCTTGGTCGTGAGAGAATTCCATTTCGAAGACAGCTGGAGGGGACACATCCAACTCCAGGAACATTATGTTTTCGGCCTGTGGCAGGAGGGTCACACCGGACGTGAGCACTGGCCCTGCACCTTCCAGGCCCTCGGTGAATGTTGGGGGGAGCAGGGATGACAAGGTAGGTAGAGGAAGCAAAGGCTGTGAGCATCCACCCCCCTTGGGACCTCTCCCCTCCCCACTTCCACTTCCCAGCTTCTTACCCTGTACCTGGGGTGGGACCCCATTGCCATGGCAACCCGAGCATACTGGCTGATAGGCCTCTTGTAGCCCACCGCGGACGTGGGCCGCTTCTTCATCTGGCTGTTATTGCTGCGGGGAAGAGGCTCGGTTAGGACAGGTTCCTTCAGACACAAAGGGGAGATGGCTTCCTGAGGAAGTCAGCATTACTCATGTAGACAGGAGGCCCTGAAGACTGCAGGCTCCGGAATTTTCTTCCCTTTGCTCTAATGCAAGCTGACAACTCAGACTAACATACGGAGGCACATGTTTCTTTAATTACCTTCCCAGTAGAAAAGGGATGACTGAGGATTGGAATGAAGAAAGCAAATTTGATCTTATTTTAGTTTTCGGATTCATGTACTAATTTCACATACCACACAAAACCGCTGATGATTAGTGGTTCTGCTGCTCATTTTCCTCCACAGGAGTTAGCATGACAAGATGACTAAAAGCTCAGGCTTGAAATGCAAGGGTCCCAGAACAATAACCAAAAGAGTCTTGGAAAAGAACGAAAATGGAGGACTCACATTTCCCAGTTTGGAAACTAATGACAAAGCTGTAGTAGTAACGAGGCTGTGTGGTTCCGGCACATGGACAGAGAAATCTATCAGTGGAGTAGAACCGAGAATCCAGAATAAACTGCCGTATTCCCCGTAACTGATTTTCTGTGAGGGCACCAAGACCATTTAACGGAGAACGAACAGTCTCTTCACCAAATGACACTGGGACACGTGGACATGCACAGGCAAGAAAATGAAACCGAAACCGTACCTTGCATCAAATATAGAAATTAAGCCCAAATGGATCGTAGACATAAATGTAAAGCTCTATCTTACAAAACTCTGAATAAAACATAGTGGTACAAAGAACACGTATGAAGGACCCATGGACATGGACAGTGGTGAGGGGACTGACTGAGGAAGTGGGGGCGGGCTGGGTGGAGGCGGGTGAAGGGGGAAAAGTGGGGTAACTGTCACAGCATAAAAAATAAAATATTTTTTCAACATTAAAAATAACATGGTTTGAGCCCACCCAGGGATGCCTTAATTAATTAATTATTTTAATTAAAAATAGTAAACTTTTATGACTTTATGCAATGGTTTCTTAGCTATAACATCAAAAAATCAAGCAACTAAAGAAAAACAGTTAGACAAACAGGACTTTATAAAAACTAAAAACTTTTGTGCTTCAAAGGACATCATAAAGAAAACAAAAAGATAATCTACAAAATGGGAGAAAACATCTGCTAATCACATATCTGATAAGGGACTTTTATCCAGAATCTATAGATAACTTTTACAAATCAAAAAAGACAAACAACTCAATTTAAAAAAGGACAAAGTGCTTGCCGGAGTGGCTCGGTGGGTTGGGCATGTCCAGCGAACCAAAAGATTGCCCGTTAGATTCCCCATCAGGGCACATGCCCAGGTTGGGGGGTCGGTCCCAGTCGGGCACCTGCAAGAGGCAACTGATCAATGTTTCTCTCTCACATCGATATTTCTCTCCATCTCTTTCTCCCTCTCTTCCTCTCTCCCTGGAATCAGTAAAAGACACAAATAAATAAATAAAAATGGACAAAGAATTTGAATAGCCATTTCTCCCAAGAAGAGAATACAGTAGCCAATAAGCACATAAAAAGATGCTCAACATTATTAATCATTAGAAAGATGCAAATCAGAACTACTTCACACCCACTAAAATGACTGTAATCAAAGAAGACATACAATACTACATGCTGGTGAGGATGTAGAGAAATTGGAACCCTCATTGTTGGTGGGTATGTACAATGGTGCAGCTGCATTGGAAAACAGTTTGGCAGTGACTCAAACAGTTAAACATAGCCCTGGCTGGTGTGGCTCAGTGGATTGAGCACCGGTCTTCGAACCAAAGGGTCACGGCCCAGTCAGGGCACATGCCTGGGTACATGTGAGAGGCAACCACACATTGAGGTTTCTCTCCCTCTCTTTCTCCCTCCCTTCCCCACTCTCTCAAAATGAATGGATAAAATCATTTAAAAAGAAAGTTAAACACAGAGTAACCATAAAAACCAGCACTTCCACTACCACTAGGTATTTATTCAAAAGAATTTATAACATGTCCCCACACAAAATTTGTACACAAGTACTCACAGCAGCACTATTCATGATAGCTAAAACCCAAATGCCCAGCAACTGATGAATGGGAAAACAAAATACGGCACGCGCACAGGGTGGAGTGTCACTCAGCAGTGAAAAGGAGTGAAGTACTGGCACATGCTGCAATACGAATGAACCTTGAAGACATTTTGCTAAGTGGGAGAATCCAGATACCAAAGACTACGTATTGCATGGTTCCATTTATATAAAATGGCCACAATACGCAAATCTGTAGAGACAGAAAGCATATTGGCGGTTGCCCAGGGCTGGGGCATTGGGAGAATGGGAGTGACTGGGGAGTGACTGTCAGTAGGGACACGGTTTCCTTTTGGCGTGATTATGGGTGATTTTAAAAATTATCTTTATGCCTTTCTACAATATCTAAATGTTTTTACAATGAATAACTTTATATTTAATGAATTATTTCAAACATTCAGAAAAGCATAGAAAGTTTTATATATATATAGATATATCTCTACCGTAGTCCTACCATCTGGCTTTGTCAAATCTTTTTTTGAAAATTGATTTGAGAAAGAAACATCGATTTATTGTCCTACTTATTTATGCATTCACCGGTTTATTCTTGGATGTGCCCTGACTGAAGATCGAATCTGCAACCTTGGTGCACTGGGATGACACTTTAACCAACTGAGCTACCCGACCAGGACTCAGCTTTGTCAAATCTTAACGTTTTGTTATACTTACAGCAAATGGAAATTGGGACAATTGTAATAGAACAATAAAATACCTAAAAAAAGAAATAAAATGTAGACAGTTTTATCTTCTTCCCAGAATTAATCACTGTTCTTAAGTTTAGTGCTTATCAATGTCATGAGAGTTTTTTTAAAGATTTTATTTATTTTTAGAAGATAGGAAGGGAGGGAGAAAGAGAGGGAGAGAAACGTCAATGTGCAAGAGATGCATGGACCAATTGCTTCTCTCATGCCCCCAACTGGGGACCTGGTCCACAACCCAGGCATGTACCAGCCAGGGCTCATGCATATTTTATCTTTACAAATACATATGCATATGTGTATATCTATACATATACATATCAACACATATACATATCATATGTGGGTTTCCACGTATACATGATATGCATATACACATATATTACATATACATATCAATATGTGGGTTTCCATAAATAATATATATGGTATTTGTATGCCCATTTCTAAATTTTAAACTGTATGGTGTATGTACTGCATTTTTTTGTGCTCAACAAGCTTGTGTTTTAGATTTATCCATGCAGCTGTAGATTAGATTATTATTTTAAAGATTTCATTCATTTATTTTTAGAGAGATGGGAAGGGAGGGAGAAATGAAGGGAGATAATGTGTGACATACATTGATCAGTTGCCTCTCACACGTTCCCAGCTGGGGACCTGGCCCACAGCCCGGCGTGTGCCCTGACTGGGAATTGAAACTGTGACCTTTTGGTTCGCAGGCCAGCACTCAGTCCACTGGGCCACACCAGCCAGCGCTAGATTATTAAAGTTTAAGTATATATTGAGTATTTTAAGGTTTTAATATAGCAACATATATACATTATATATGTGTGTACACACACATCCTCTTGTTGATGGATATCTAGGTTGATTCCTTCCCCACCCTATTAAACACAGTGCTCTTGTGAACATTTCTGCACAGGGACCTTCAAGTACATCTTCAACAGCTACCCTGTCGGGTATGTGGCATGTGCATTTCAACTTGACTAGATATTGCCAAGGGGCTTTTCAAAGTGGTTATACCAGTGAGAGTTTCCACTGCCCTACATCCTGGTCAACTCATGGTATGTCAGCCTTTTCACTTCCAGCAATTTGATGTGTGATGGGTTATTTTTATTATTCAGAACAAACAACAAAAAAGATAGAACAAGAACGTTATTTCCATTAAAAGAAGAAATACTCCAGGTTTTGGAGGAAGACAGCCCGGGTTTGAATGCTGGCCCCGAGAGCTGTGTGACCTCGGGAAGGGGCGCCCCTCCCGCCCCCACTGCCTCAGCCCTGTGCTCCGGAGTGGCTGAGAGGACACAGCACAAACACCGAGCACACCGCCCCTGCGGTAGTGATTTATTCACAACGCCACTTGCTCATTTCAAGCAGGGATACAAATGAGCAATAAAAGATGCCAAAAGGCAGACAGTTAGGAGACAGAAGAGGAGACGAAACAGGCCAGTAACCCAGATAGGACGCTCTGTCCTTGGAGACCAGGACGGGCCGTGCAGGGGCCTAGGGAACAAGGCCTGCCTTCTGCAGGGGAGAGTCTGAAGAACATTCTTGTAGTTTGTTTTATCAGGGGTGGAAAAAGAGTGCTGGACCCCCTTGGGGTCCCTGCCGACTCCTCTCTATAGATGAAGACAAGAAAGGACGAGGCTGTGGAAGCCCCACCTCTTTGGTCCGGTTACGGGGGAGCCCGGGAGGCTGTGCCCGTGGAGAGGGCCGCCCCCAAGACAGCTCTGAGGCCAGGGGAGGGTTAGGAGAATAGTAACTTATCATTTATGAGGGGAGCCTACATAGCCCATTTGAATTTGACAACAACCTCCCGAGGTGTAGACAGGGCAGACACCATGCTGCCTTCTGTGTCCAAGGTCATCCAATCAGGAAGAGACTTGGAATTGAACCTTTGCAGAAACTCTTTTTACGGTGCTGTCCTGTCTCTGAGGAGGACACGTGAACTGGCCTGGGGCCGAGGTGCGCCTTGAGGGCTGCAGGCTCTGGGAACAGGACAGAAGGACACGGCTGGGCGAGTAGAGCAGTGGATCAGTGTGAACTGGCAGCCTGACCCAACAAAGATGCCAGGGCTATTCTGGGTGGCATGGGGGAGGGGGAGGGGAGTCTGTAATGGGAACAGCACACTCCCCGTCTACTCCCTCTGCTGCCCCAGGCTTCCTTTCCACCACTGATCCCTCGTAGTGAGCAGGTTGTGGCCGAGAGGAGGCCTGGCTGCATGTACCCACCCCTCCCTACAGCGGCCTGCGGCTACAGGCCGTGTGCGCTCAGTAGGTCCTAGGAGCTCTCCCGGGACTCTCCCTCCAGATGGCTGTTATCACTGTTTGGTTTTCCCCTTTATATTATTAAAAAGTCACTCTTGGCTCCAGCTTGGGGGCTGACCCCTTTCTCATCACCAGCTCTGTCTGGTCGCCCCCTTTCTTCTCCTGTTCTGAACACAGGTGCCCAGCGGCCCAGGGTGTGTTCTCCTCCCAGGCCCTGCACGTGCACCTGCCTCAGCACCTCGGACTTTTCTCCCCCTGCAGTGTGGTTCCCAGCCCCGCATCAGCCACCCCCTCGCAGCACTCCCCTCCCTGCAGGTCTGAAAGCTCACTCTTCTCATTTCCCTCCAAGACACTGCCCCACCTCCTGTCCAGGGCAGCTGGTGTGCCTCCCTGCTTCTCACAGGCCTGTGAATCAATCTAGGGACCCAAACCGGAGCTGAGAAGTTTCTTACTGAGGTCAACGTTGCCTCTATCATGAAACCAGTGAAACTTTCTATTCTGATTCTATTTAGAGTCAGGAACGTTCTCTCGTTAAACTTGGAGGTAGCCCGAATAGAAAATTAAAAGGAAAAACAAAAGAACAATAAGCTGAACTGCCCTTCTATGGCACTTTTAAGGATGAAGGCTGACTGGTGTCTCTGGTGTTCCCATAATTGTCATATCAACCTATCGGTAGGATTTGACCGTTTACCGAGCATCTCTTCTGTGGCAGATGTTGGCCCGGAGCCTCACACACACAATCACACCTCAACCTGAACAGTCCTGCAGGGTCCACGTGTTAGCCCACCTTTACAGGTGAAGAAACTTGGGCTCAGAGAGGTTAGAAAACCTTCTCAAGGCCAGCAACACGTGGCAGAGCAGGGACCAGGATTCAGACTGTTCTAAATCCGAAGTCCAGTCTCTTTTGACTGTCCCATGGTGCCCCTGAAAAGCATCCAGGGCAGCCAGGCTGCACAGCCAAAGGGCTGGCGTTGCAGACGGGATGCTGGGAACTGCATGTGAACAATGGGCTACAGACATTGCCATGGGCTACAGAACCTTAGAAGATAGCTTTGTGTAAACACAATTAAAAATAAAGTCTCTTGTGAGAAATTAAAGTCATACTTGAAAAATAATTATTGCTGGAGCTGGTGGAAAAAATATTTTTTCAAAGTAACATTAAGACAAAATTGTTCGTGGTTATGGAAGGCACCTCACCCGAAGTTTCTCTGCATCAGCTAGCGGCCACGTAGAGACGTGGAGAAGACAGAGAAAGGGAGGGACCTCCAACATCGGCGGATGTGGGTGTGTTTCAAGAGCTGCTCGGCAATAGCCCCTTGTTTTAGAGACAGGCTGGGGAGAGTGTGTGGGGTAGACGCTTGCTGCTGGAGGAGCAGAAATACACTTCTCCAACAAGAGTTTTCTAACGGGACAGCATGACACCAGGTACTGACTCCTTCCTAACAAGGCTGCTCTCCTCACCCCTCGAGCAGAAGGCCACAGTGTGTTCTCCCTGGAACACCCAGGCCAAAGGAAAGCCAACTGTTCCACGCTTGAACCGAGCAGATGGGACAAGGTCCTGAGGAGTTAAATGTGCTTTGGGAAGAAAGTTTTTCAGCCCTTATTAAGTTATGCTGCAAATGGTGGGACCCAATGCTAAGGGAAGGCACCCCCCTTCCAGGGAGGCAGCTTGCTCTGCAGCCTGAGGCCACGGTTCCCCCACATGGGGGAAGCTGCACCCAACGACGGCCCCACCCTCAGGCTTCCTCTGGGACAGGAGGGCGTGGGGCCAGTGGCTCTTGCACCACGAAGCGGCCCTCTGGCTGTCTGAGCCGAGTCAGAACTGCAGTGGGAATTCCAACTATGAGAGAACTGTTTTCACTTTAGTTTGACCACCAACTGCTCCTTTAGAAAAAGTAATTAAAACTTTTGTTTCATATAAAGTCTTCCTAGGTCTATTTTTACTTTTCTTTTGCATTTTTGTGATTTTAATAAAGGCTCTGAGATAAGTGTTATTTATTGTGGTTATTAGTCATAGCAAAATGGTCAGTCACATTAAAAAAGAAAAAATGTACAGCAGTGATTGAGAACTGCATGGAGTTGATCATCTGGTACTTGTTAATAACTCTTTTGGGAGTAATTTAGATATCAGAGTTTTTTTCTTAGAGAAACCTGTAATAACTATTTACATCATTTGTGTCTGAGTGTGGTAGAGAACACTGATATGTCAGAACTGCCTTAATACCTTTACCCTCACCCAGCTCTATTGGATATTGCCTGTACAGAATACATGCTCTGTGTGTATTCTGAACAGGTCCACACATATAAAATAGCATGGTTAAGTTGTGAATACACTTAACCATGATTTTAAAAAACTTATAAATATGTGTGTATCTTTACATGTCCAGTATAAAGTGTTTAGGGAGCACAGTCCTTTGGGACCCAGCCAGAAGTACTGGTGACACAGACCCGCAAATTCGGGCTGGGGAGCAATTCCAGACAACACCGAGACCTGATTCTTCCCAAGGAGTTACGGGGGAGACGATACTACAGAGAGAGCTAAAGTAAGAAGCGTTTGAGGAGTAGGCAGAGTTTTCTGGCTTTCCTGTGGCAAAGAAAACACTCACTGCCTCTTTCCTTGGGTCACTTTCCTCCGGCAAGAAGGACGGTGGGGGCGGGGGGGGGCAGAGGACAGGAAAGGTGGGGAGGGCACTGCAGACGCGCATCGGTGTCTGGTCCAGCCCCGTTGCCAGCGGGTTCTCTGAGACGCACAGACAAGCACAGATTCTCCTCTGAAGCCGCAGAGAGGCACTGGAGAAGGCAGCAGTCGCACCGTGAACAAAGACACCAATGTACATGTTGGTGTCTAGAATACATATTGTTTAAAGTGTGCTACTTTAAGATAGCTGTTTTAATTTCAAAAGTATGTGAATGGTTTTTCAGCGTATGCAAACCATTTTATTTTTGCAAAAAAGGAAGTTATTTAAGAGGTTATTTAACTTAAAAGTTATTTGAGTTCTTTAAAAGGAAGTAAACTTTAAAAAAAAAAACAGAAATAAAGAATGGACATTTACAATCACCGAGCAGAAAGCTCAGCTTCAGGAAAAGTGCCCGTCGTGCTTTCCAGTCGGGACTGTGTGCCTGAGGCGGGGGCCGCGCTCTGAGAAGCGAATAAACTCTGAAGCACGAAATGGCAAAACTCAAATCAAGATCCCTTCTCAGCTCCAGATTAAAGGGTTAAAGAGGCATGACAAATGCCACGCGCCACCTCAAGTGGGTGTGGGTGGGGAGGCAGGGCACAGGGCACTGCCTGCAGGCTATCACTCGTTCTGGCTGAAACGGAACATTGCCTATATAATGCAACAGTACTGTCCATACAGCCTTTCCTGACCTTGATTATTGTACTGTGGTTACGTGAGATGACGTCCTCACTGTGAGGAAACATAAATAAAGGGCCAGGACATCTTCAACTTAATCTCAGATGCTGGGGTGGGGGCTGGGGAATGAATAAAGTGAGAGGTGGCAAAATATGAATCAGTGAATTTTTCATGAAGGGTATATGCAAATTCCTTGTATTATTCTCGAAATTTTTATTTTTCAAAATAAAAACTTTAAAAACGCACGCCTTCTCAGATTCTCTCTCATTATCTAACCAACATAAAGAAATGCCTCCACCTGGAAACTTTGAAACTAAGGAACTTTTCTAAGCAGAAGCTTCACTAGCATTTCCTTCCAGCAGAGGGCGCTAGAGTAGTAGTTTTTAAGTCTGGCTTCCTTGCTGGAAGCCTCACCTGGAAGCTTTAGAAAAAAAAAATTAGTCCTGAGATCCTTCAAAGATCCTTTAAATCAGACTCTTTGAAGCCCAACTCACAGGTGATTCTAGTTTCAGACAGGGTGGAGAATCTCTGCCTTAGATGCTGCACTACTGTGGGTCTCTACTTAGACTGGAAAGGTAGATTTTAAGTCCAAAGTGACACCATTGAAAAGTCTTCTGCTCATGAACTTGCTACTTACAAACTTGCTTGGTGTCACCTTGGGTAGGATCAGCCTTTTAGAAGGTAGATGGAGCAGGCATCTGATGCCCAGTGAGAAGCTGTAGACCTACGCAGCCAGCTTCCCACCCCAGCTTTGGGCAGATTCTTGCCTTATCCTGCCATTAATATTTCTAGGATAGAGAGAGAACAAAGAATCTCTGGGAAAGTGCATTGGTATTCAGCCTCCTAAATGCCTTTATAAACAGATTTTCAATTAAGGGACTGTGGTCCAGCTGAGTAAGGAGTCACTCTGTTAGGTTTGAATGCCTGGCTTTGTTCTTCGTGGCCACCAGTAGAGGGAGCTGCACACCCACCCAACAGACGCCAACTGCACCTAAGGGCTAGGATGTGGAAACAGGTGGAAATGCTGAATCACGGAGCTGGGTGAGGCTTTGAAGATTGGACACACCTCTCTCATCTCCTGATCTACTTACTTCTCTGTATTCCCCACTGGACTTGGGTGCTGACCGTGTCTCATTGACCTTTTGTCTGCAGAGTCCCCCACAGTGCCCAACACACAGTAAGGCAAATACTAACTATTGTTGCTGCTCTTGGCACCAGACAAATGAATATTCATCAGACCGGCCAAATGCTGGCCTTCGTTGGGATTGCCAAGAGGCCGAAGTGCCCTTCCTCCCCACTTCAGGCTCCTTGTGGGGTATTTTCTGCACCCCAGGCCACCGAGAGAGACACTTTGTTTTCATCACAACACCTCTCCTTCACGGAGACCCCTACTTTAGGTCCTGAGATTCCCCCTTCCATCTGTGTCCCCCTCACCAGTCCATAGTAAAAGCCTCGGTCTGCCCACAGGCCCCTGGCCCGAGTGACTGGGTACAGGACTCACACTCCGGCCGGCGCAAGTGGCTGGAACTTCCACTGCTCCTCCTCGCAGTCCAGGAAAAGCCGGTTCATGATCTTGTTCTTCTCCTCAGGGGGGATGAAGTTCTCGATAATTAGGTACCTGGGAGTGGGAATGAGGCAGAGACGGGGAATTGGGCAGAGAGGCCCCACAGGTATATGTGAAGTTGAAGGATCAGAAGTAAGAAGCAAAGAGGCAGAGGGAACACAGGTGGAAAAAACAAAAAGTTGGGGGGATCCCAATAGAAATAACAGACTGGAAAATCAGTTCTTCTAATGCACAGAGTGCAGGCTCGGGGCTGCAGGGGTGCCTTGAGGACAGCACCCAGCATGCACTTTGGGGCATTCGTCAACTGCAGACTGCGGAGGGAAGGAGGAAATGGGAGGTAGGAGAAACTCCAGAAGTTCTCCCTCATCCCTCCACATGTTAACCCTAAGGCTCACGAACTCCTGGGTGGCAGCTGGAATGAGGCCTCCAGGAAGAAGACGCTGTTAGGGAGAAGCCTGGGGCCCAAGGGACGGCTGTGAGGACCAGGGAGGGGAAGAGCAGGGAGCCTACTTGAGCTTGAGTTCCCGGGTCTGCTCATTCTGCGCCTCCTCCAGGTCCTGCCGCACGCGGATGTACTCGTCGTGCTGGTCCTGGATCTCCGCCTTCACCGCCTGCAGCTTGGCGTAGAGCTGGGTGGGGACAGGTGCAGCTCAGAGGCCACCCAGCTCGGGCCCTGACAGCCGCAGGCTCAAGGTCCACCAGCTCAGCCCGGGACAAAGCCAGGGCGGGGTCTGAATCTCCGTCTGGCTACCCCACCACGAGGCAGGACAGGCTATTCGAAGGCTGTCCTGTCCCTCCTCCACTGGGGCCTGTTCCCTGCCCGCTCTCAGCTGCCATCAGCAGTGTGGAATGTTCAGACTCGAAGAGACTCTGGGGACCTCTTGGTCCAACACCCTCTTTTTATAGGTGAGGAACCTCAGGCACAGGGTTGTTCAAGGTCACACACAACTAGTTAACAGAAAAGCCAGAATCAGCACCCAAGTACAGGACTGCTAGTCCAGGGCTCAGGGAGAGGATGGGCTTGGAGGCTGAACCCACCCCACTCCCGCCTCTGCAGGGGCTCTCTGAAGTGGGGGGTGTAGGGGGCAGCACTGGTCCTGCAGTCCCACTTCTAACCATAGAGAGGTGTGTCCCTGGAAACTGCCACTGTGACTAGGCCTCTGCCTGGCCCACCCTGGGGCAGCCACTCAGCAACCCTAAGAAGCTCTCCAGGTTCTTCCCAGAATCCAGGCCGAAACTTGCTGCTTCCTGCCCTTGATCCTCATGTACACACCTCTCCCTGGCCATGGGCTTTGCAGGACTCTGGTGGCCGGATATTCTCATCCCTCCACACACCCTCGAGGGTCCTGTGTTTCCTTCCTGGAGCCCCGCCAGGCCCAAGTCTCCTCAGGCTCCCTCACTGTCCCCCTGGCCCTGCTCCAGGCCGGGCCAGCCAAACTGTGACTCACTGGTGACGCTGCAAAGGGGGAAGTTACCCAGGACCACGAGGACAGCAGCCTTGGAGACAGGAAGTGACAGTGTGGCATTCCCAGCCTAACAGGCCCAGCGTGGGGGCCTGGGAGAAAAGACTCTGTTCCACCCCAGCAGACCTGTGCCTTCCCCGCGCCTCGCCCCAGCAGCCCAGGCAATGTGACTGGGGTTCAGCAGTTCAAGGCAAGTGGGAAGAGGCCCTAAAACACACACACCCCTTGGGCAGGTGACTATCTTGGGCAGAGGCTGCCGGGCCCTCACACCTTGACCCCGTCCTGCTGTGGCATCTCACCTTCTTGAGTTTCTTGGTTTTGACCTCCACCTCCTGCTGCAGGGACGTGTAGGTGCCCCGGAGCTCCATGGTCTCCTCGTCTCGGAGCATCATCTCCTGCTGCATCTCCCGCTCACGGCGTTTCTAGGCCAGTGCAGGGCACAGGGGCTCAGAGCCGCAGCCCGCAGCGGGGAGGCTGCGGGAGCTCAGGGACAGGCTCACTCGGCCTCTCACGGGACCCGGCTTCGCTGTGGCCACAGCCGCCAGGAGGGAGAAGGGAGCGTCCTGCGGCCCCCATCCATCGTTCCCACCCTGTCCTCAGTGGAGCCTCTCCGAACTTTCTTCTCAGCTCACACAGCCGTGCCTCTGCCAGACACTGTCCATGTGGACGGAGACCCCGGCCCTAACTAACCGCTGCTGGCACATTCCAGGGGTGTCAACCACACATAACAGGTGTCCGTCACGTGGGCTTCCCAGCTGCCTCCTCGTCTCCCGTGCAGTATCACAGTGGACTGGTGAGACCCAGTCGTGGTTGGTGATGACTCAGGACAGCCATACAGTTGGCAAAGAACTCTCGCCCTTGTGGGAGGCCCCGGAATTCGTACCAGGTGCAGCGGAGGCCGATGTGGTGGAGAGCCACCACTTTCTGTCACCCACCAGCTAGCAGGTCCCCCACCAGAGACAGGCCCTGGGCTGGCAGGCCCACGGAACCCAGGGCAGCACGTCTTAGGGTCCCAGCACTGTTCCAGGGATCCTGACTCTCTGAGGGCTTTTGGGCAGATGCCCCTCAGACGTGACCTTCAGGCCATGTGCCCCCAGGGACCTGAAGCCCCAGCCCTACCTGCTCAGCAATCTCCTGCCTCTTCAGTTCCAACATCTTCTGCTGCTCGTTGGTGTGATCCATGATGTTTCTGCCCCCGATGAGCAGCTTGCTCTCCATGGCCTGGGGGGACACAAAGAGGTTTGGAGACAGGCTATTTGAAGCGCCGCAGGGTCCCCAAGTTGAGGGTTTGCTTCCCTGATGGGGCCTCCTGGCCCTCCCCAAGAATGAGATTTTTCCTCCAGCCTCTTGGGCCCCAGCCCAAGGTTCTTGTTGTTGGTAGGTGAGAAAAAGAGGAGGGAGTCCCTCAGGGAAGGCAGGGCACCTGATCTCTTTGCTTGGGATCCAGATGGAAGGTGGTTCACCAAGCCCAGGAGGGTGTGCAGATGGCAACCTAATCCTGGCAATCAGCACCCAGCTGCTGTCCGGGACAGGGAGACTGGAGGGAGTCACCAGAAACAGGAAGGGTCTCTCAACACGGGCACCAGGAAAGTCTAGTTGTGGGCTGATGTGGAAAGCAGAGGAAAAGCCAAGAGGAGAAGACTCCGCCACACCAAGGGGCACACGGGGCCGCAGCAGCACGCGAGCTTTGGAGATGCCCCGACAGACCTGGGTCCCACCCACTAACCACAAAGCCTTGGCCCGGTGACCCCCTTGAGTTCTCACATCTGAAATTCTGGAACCGACTGTGAACAGGGGTGCCTAGCAAACATTTGCTGAGCAGTATTTGCCAGGGACTGAACTAGGCCCTGAACAGACATTACCTCTGCCCTCACCCTAAGAGGGAGGCACTGTTACCCTCTTGAACGAAGGAAGAAGTTGGAGGAACTAGCCCGAGGGCGTGCAGGTAGCTGGCAAACCCGCCATCCCCGGGCTCTGTGGAAGCTCCTCGCCCGTGTTCGCCACAGACATTCCATAGACGCCTGCTGCATTGGAAGCTTCAGTGATTACAGATTTGTGTAAGCTGTGTGCACTGTGACTACACTAAATGCATTTATACTGTTGCTCCTCACAGGGGGTGCTGCTCCAGGGCACCCCAGCTGTCCTCTGAATTCATCCCAGGCCTCCTGGAAGGGCGAAATCACCTTGAGCCACCAGGAGAAACTGGCTGCCTCTGCAGTGGAATTTTTCCCAGTGGGACCTGCTGACCTGCCTGAGGGCTCTCAAAGCAGGGGATGCTGTCAGAAGGGGACCCCTGTGTCACCCGTGAGAGCCTCATCACTAGGGACAGAGGAGGACTGGGGTTAAGAGTTGCTTCTGGGAGGTCAGAAGTTGGATTATGTGAAGGTGCCAGAGGGCACTGAGCAAAACTGGGTCAGTCAGAGCAGCCCCAGGACCCCTCAGAGGCCAAGGAGAGAGCTGCTGCAGAGAAGGGCGCCCTCCAGTGGCTGCCTGTCTTCACTGCCACGCCACAGTCACCTGCCACACCCACCTCCCCCCACCAACCCTGACCTTGCTGGGTTAAAATGTCTAACTGTTCATGCCCCCATACATCACAGACCCGAACTCATCCTAGACTCTTCCTTTTCCCTCAAGATTGGCACCTGCACCACCCTTGAGTGGGAAACTCCTTAAATTTTGTGTGCTGGGCACCTTACCTACCTCACCCTGGTGTCCACCCCACATCTCATGCACCCTCGGTCGCTGGTTAAATCCCATCGAGTCTGTCTTCCTGGTGTGGCCCACACCACTCCAACCTTTTCACCTTCATGATACCTGCTGACTTCATGAGATCCTCGGGACTCACCTCAATCAGTCACGATCGAGTTACTGCCTCAGTTTCCCCTTTCATCCATCTCTACATGACACGCAGAAGGATCCACCAAAAATGCAACTCTGAGCGTGCCCCCTCTGCTGCAATCAGTTCAAGTGGCCCCGCTCCTTACAGGATAACCCCCCAAGTCTGCGGCAGTCCAGGCCCCGGGCTGCCCCAGCCTCCCCTCCCCCCACCGTGTGCCCTGCACTCCAGCTCCACCACGGGAACCCCAGCGCCCTGTGTGCTCTGCCTTTTCACGACACAGGCCTTCTCTTCCCACCCCACGTCCCCCCGGAGAGCGGATACTTCTCCTGCAAGACACAGCTTGAGCTTTTCTCTGATTCCCTCCAATCTGCACGTTTCCCCCCTCAGGCCTCCTCAATAACCAGGACACTCTCCTAGTGTTCTGCCACGACGTCCCATTGTTGGTGCACATTCTCTCTCCCCTGCGAGCTTCTCCAGGGCAGGAACATGTCTGACTCGGGTCTCAGTGTCAGGCCTCAGCACAGCGCCAAGCACACCGCAAGTGCTCATCCGTGTCTGATGAACTGAAAAGAATCCTTGGGGCTGACCCAGAAGGGGGTTCCGGGTCCCTTCTCTGGGGTCCCTCATCCCAGCTTTTCCTCCTTCAATGGGCCAACCCACACTCACTGTTGCAGGATGAAAGGGCAGAGCAGCAGGGTCTGGGCACCCGGGACACCTAGTGGGAGGGATAGGCTGGGTGTGAAGAGGGAGAAGGAGAAAAGGCAGCAGCTCTCTCTCATCCACAAGGAAGCCACCTAGTGCTCTGGGCCGCGGATGACTGGTCCCTCTTAACGACAGGGAATGGAATCTTGAGGGACCACCGCATTCTGGGACACCCTTGTCCACTCCAGCCCTGAGTCCCTGCACTTCCCTTGGCACTTTATGTAACTCGTGTTCTTCACTCTTTGCTACCTAATAAAAACACACTAGTTCTCTAATTGGGTTACGTATGAGAATCTCCGGGGAGCTTTTAAAACTCCCAAATGCCAGGCCCAGCACATTATCCTGGGCCCCTCCACTCCTGGCTGTGAGAACTCCTAGGCCAGGCGCTCCAGAGAAGACCCAAGAAAGGCAGGCACAGGCAACAACAGGAGATGTCTTGTTTTTTTTTTCCTGCCTGATTTAAAGACTGGGGCGGAGCAAGAAGCACAGGACAAGGAACCAAGAAAAAGCAAGCCATTATTTTCTAGGTACCTACTACATGCTGGGTTTTTCAGATCCAGTCCTCTTAATAACCCTTTAAGCAATGGGTCTCAAACTTCTATGTCTATTAGAATCATCTTTCAAAAAGCCCAGTGCCTAGGCTATACCCCACTGCCAGTTAAACTGGAATGCGGACGGGAGGGGGGATAGGTAGTGAGGTCCAAGCATCGGTGATTTTGAAAGATTCCCAGGTGATTTCAGCATGCAGTCAAACATGAGATTCACTGCCTTTGGAGGTCTCCTGAATCAGCATCACTTGGGAGCCTGTCAAAATGCAGAATCTCAGGCCCTATCAGACCTAGTGAATCAGAAACTGCCTTGTAACGAGATCCCAGGTGACTTGAAGGGGCATATTATTAGCGCCATCATTTTTCCAATGAGAGCTCAGAGAGGTTAAGTAAATCATCCAAGGTCACATTGTGGCCATTAAATATAAATGGAGAATCCAGACCCAGGCTGGCCTGGCTCCAAAGCCCATGCTCTTTCTACTGCAGACAATGTGTTCAGTGCTTCGGGAAGCAGAAAAGCAGAACTTGCTGGGGCCAGAGGTGGAGCGGGAGGCGGGAGGCGGGGGGGGGGGGGCGGGGGGCATGTTTCCAGCAAGAAAAAATCATATCTCACTAATCTCCAAGGTCATCACAGTACATGGAGAAGCCAGTGGCTAGAACTTTAGAGGTTAACATGCTTCCAGCAAGGTTCTTCATTAGAGGTTATTCAAAATCACAGAGCATGTGAGGAGCCGGAGAAAGGGAAGTACTTTCTCACAACAGAAAAGTGGATTAGTAAAAGGAAACAGAAATGAACAGGCCTCTGTGGAGATGGAAAAAAGCTCAAATGTTAAATGCTGGGGCTGGTCTCCACTGGAAAGTGTGCACTGGTGAAACACCCACCCTCACAGAGGCACCTGAATCCTCCTGAAGGTGGTCGGGCACAGGAGGACTTCTCAGCTGTGCGAGTCAACACAGGCAGGAGAGGAGCTTCAGTTATGGCTGGACATTTCGGGAAAACGTACTCTAGGAGCTCTCTCATTAAATGATAGCTATGAGCCATCAGTTAAAAGCCAAAAGGGGTGGGAGGGTTGAGGAGAGAGTCGATGTTTGTTGTTCCCACAAGACATCGGCTTAATATGCTGCCACAGCTGAAAGAGTCAACAGCATCTGGCCGGCCACCATCATGAAGGCTGTTTAGAAACAAAACAGAAATCGTTCTACCCTAATAGAAAACCACGGTATGTAGCCGCATCTGGAGTCCTGCACACGGTCCCCTCCCTGCATCTCTGGGGACACGAAGGAGAGAAGATCCAGAGTAAGGCGGCTAAAACCAGAGAAGGGCTATTCTAAGAGACCTTGAAAAATAGGCCTCTTTTTCACTCTGCAAAGACAAAGGAAGGTGAAGAGAATAGGCCTGGAAACTCTACAATCAAAACAGGTGTGAAAAGCGAAGATCCAGACTTTTCCAATCAATCCTGCAACATGGAGTAAGAGCTTATATCCTGAGATTTTAGGATAAATAAAGGGAAGTTCTATCCTGTACAGAAGGTAATAAATTTATGGGATCTGATATTTCGGGAGCATGGAATTAAATGCTTAACAGTTTATTCTGGGGACATGTTTTTAACCTTTTATTGTCTTCCTCTCCTTTCAGAAAAAATTGCACTTACATCAAAATGACCACCAAAATAATGAGAAAAGACTTCATATTTTCTCACCTAGCTAATCAGCTTCTGTTATTTCCCATTTTTTTCTAGATTTCCCATATGCATACACCATTTTTTTCATATCTATAGACATGGTATAAATAGAAGCTTATGTCCTGCTATTTACACGTTATCACATATCTCAGGCAGTGTCTGTTACTTCCATAATGTTTACAAGTTTAATGATTGCATACTATTTAGAGTGGATGATTTATAATATATTTAGCCCCCATTATAAGATTATTATTAATTGTTTATTATGTTTGCTGTAAACACCTTTGTGCATATAATTTTTTGCGTTTTTACATGACTTTCTTGGCAGGAAATTTCAAGAGTGGATAAAGAGTTACAAACATTCTGGGTGTCTTAGAAGATACCGTCCAATAACCTTTCTAGTGGTTTATGCCACTTACACAACTGCCAGCTATGATAATGGAACCACTT